AAAGGACTATAAAAAAAAAAATAATTTTTTTCTAGCCTGTGTTTCTCAACCTTGGGAACTTTAAGATGTGGGGTCTCCACCCCCCAGAATGCCTCAGCCAGCCATGCTGGCTGGGGCATTCTGGGAGTTGAAGTCCACACATCTTAAAGTTCCCACGGTTGAGAAACACTGCTCTACATTTTGGATTGGAGGCATCATGGCTCCACACACTACTTGCAGGTAACAGAAGAGTGCATCTACACTCCCTGATTTGGCACACCCCAGAAACATGTGTGTGGCTACCGTGAAAAACCAGATGCTGGACAAAGAGGGGTTTAGCCTTGACTTTGGATGCTGTTAATCTCTACCTGTTCCACTTTGCTCTTTGCCCAAGGCCTAAGATATCCCACTTCCAACATCAGATGCCTGAAGACAGAGAGGAAGAACGGAGAACTCTGCACTTAGCCCAAGATACCACCCCCTTACTATTTGGAGTACTCCTAAGCCACAAGCCACCATTCAGAGAGAGACCAGGTTACAGACACCGCTTCAAGCTAATGCCGTTCCAGAACCTCCCCATGCAAGCCAGAAAAAAGCCACAGAACAATCAGCCTTGTACAAAAGAAAGGCAGAAAAAAAAAAGACAGTGAGTGTTGCACACGCAGCTGAACAAAATGACTCGTGTTTTTGCTTCCAACGTTCAGGCACCCACCAGCAACACATGGCAAGCAAGAGATACGTTCCAGAAACTGTATGCGCACTTTAAAAACCTTTTGCCATAGCTCAACAGAAACAGCAGCCACATAAACCCATGTTACGGAAGGCCACGGGCCGCTGTAATATCTAGCTAGAGAGCTGTTCCTTCGCCCACTTTTTAAACCGTGAGAACTGCCTGGAAGGCAGACGTTCCACCTCCAGATCAGAAAAAAAAACCCTTCGTTCTGCGCTGCCTGTCATTTAGCTGCGAAAAGCCCAGGAGTTGTGTCAGACTGAAAGAAAAATCATCCTAGCCTTCTACCTTCAGGCACATTAAAACAAAACCCAAACAACCCACAACTGAATCTGGGTTGCAAAAATCCAGCCAGCCACAAGAGAGCAGGACAGGGTGAATACCTTTCAGTCTTTCTTTGCTGTCATCTGATGGTGATCCAGATTTGCTTCCAGCTCAGATTTGGGTATGAATTACACAAACTGAATATACGTTTTGTGCAACTTCAGGGAAGAGAATCAATGGGAAGACGGGAATGGACATGGCACCTTTGATGTGGCTGGCTCGAACTCAAAACCATCTGTGCCTTTCCATTAAGTAAAGCTTCACTTTCAGGGCTCAATTTACTCAAAAGCCTTTGTAGACATCTCATCTAGGACAGGAGCATCGCTGGACAGGACTCCAGGAGGGGAAGAAAATCTCCTCCTCCTTTACTTATTGCCAGCGTGGAGATATTTAACTAACTTCCACCTTAACCTGAACTACCTGCAATAACAGAGCCATCAGATACAGCTCTATTCTGATCCAAAACCAGATATCCCCCTAGCACAATCTCTCCTACCACACCGTTGCCAGGGATTAGAAGAAAACTGCCCCACCAAAGAGTTTTTCAGAGCAGTGGCATTTTGTCCCAGATAAACGCTGGTGACTCTAAGCCAAGACAAGGAGCACTGATTTCATGCTCATGGTTACTGATCTGAACTGGATCGGGTTTCTAGCTTCACCATGAAAACTCACTGGAAAAAGGGGAAAAATAAGAACTACCTCGCAGGGTTGCTGGGACAGCAATGATGAAAGGCAAATAACACACCTTACGTGCAGGAAGATACTACAAGGTGACAGAGATCCAAAAAGATTTAAGGCTTCTCCTATAAGAATTCCTCCTGTCCAGTAACCAGGATCTCTTGACAAGCCCTCATCGGGGAAGGGACGTATTCTTGATCGGCTCCTTGTATTACAGCTTATTTACGATTCTGTGTCTTGGATCCTGGATCTCACGCCTAATGGATTAAGTGTCTTTAAAGGGGTGTGCAAGTTCTCTACGAAAACCCACGGGCAAACTCTTCCTATTAATAGCAAGAAGTACAGCGTGTTCTCAGAATGATCTCTGCAAATTTATGGGCCTGCAAAGAGGGTGTTGTGTTCACCTATGAAGGTGTGCTTCTGCGAGAAAACCACACGAAGCGTCTCATAGATTGCCGCCCGAATCCGGCTTACGTTGCAAATACAAGATTGGGCTGGGCTCTTGGGACAGATTCCAATAAACGGGAGCCACAAAGGAATCCAGCCATTTGTAGAGGGAGGGTGTTCTAAGGGTTAGGCCAAAATTTCTCTGAAAATCATAGAACGGCTGAACGGCAAGGGGGACATTTCAGCCACCGAGTCCACCCTTCGCTCTGTGCTGGAGACATAAAACCCTTACAGATTCTACAGGAAGGGCCACCTTGCCCAAGACGTGTCCAGCCCAATGGGGCACACAGTGGGCACTACCCGTGTTCAGATCCATAAAAGTCAAGAACCACCACCACAGAAGGTAGCACCAGCAATGTGTAGCTTGGCAGCCAACAAGATTTCCCTTCCATACCATATAAGGAAAACTTCCTGATGGTGAGATTGGGACATCGGTGGAGAGTCTGCCCATGTAGGGCGTGGCTTGTCCAACGCTAGTGACTCTGAGAGGCTGGACAGCCAAGCTTGGAGGGTGGTTTAATGGATTTTCCTGCACATTGCGGAGGGTTGGATGAGATGATTCTTCCAACTCTACAATTCCACGATTTGTTGGCAACTGAATCTTCCTTTGGTATTAGTGATGAGCAAGACCCACATCTCAAGGTGTCCCGCTAGATCAGTGTTTCTCAACCTTGGCAACTTGAAGACATGTGGATTTCAACTCCTAGAATTCCCTAGCCTGCTGCCCAAAGATATTGCTTCCCTCTGTCTAATAACAGAGCTGGCCCCAAAGGCCATTTTCCTTGGTCCTTCCGTGACATCTGCATCTCACGTCCTCCCTGCAGGGTGCGCATCGGAAGTGAAATCTGGCCATTTCTAAATCACGCAAGAAAGGTACCTAGTAAATAAAGTCTAAAATGCCACAAAAGTACATTATTAGAACTATTCCAATATATCAGTCTTTCTGAACCTCAGCAACTGAAAGATGGTGGACTCCAACTTCAACTCCCACCATCCCCAGCCAGCGTTCTGGGAGTTGAAGTCTACCCGTCTTAAAGCTGCTGAGGCTGAGAAACAATATTTTATTGTATTAGATTTATTCCCCACTTTTATTTTAATGCTGCTGCCTCCTATTTTCCCCACAACAATAACCCCGTGAGGTGGGTTGGGCTGAGCGAGAGTGACCGGCCCAAAGTCACCCAGCTGGCCTCATACCTAGCAGAATTAAAACTCATAGTCCCCTTCCTCTTCTCCTTCATCTCCTTCCTTTTCCTTTTCCTGTTCCTGTTCCTGTTCCTCCTCCTCCTCTTCTTCCCCTTCCCCCATCTTAAAGCAGCCAAGGTTGAGAAACACTGGGCTGGAAGCTCATGGGGTGATTTGGGGCCAGTTGCTCGCTCGGGGGGGGGGTAAACTGGGAAGCAGGAATGGCATTTATGCTGCTTTGAGCTCCTGAACAAAAGGCAGGCTCTAAATCCGATACCTAATACAGGGAAATGGATCAGAGGGAGGGTGACTCCTAAGATATTCCAATGGCCAAGCTCCTTCTGAATCTCTGTGATCTGGTGGGTTTCAGGGAGAAGCAGCTAGGTGTTAGACTCTCATGGAAAAAGCATCCTTGCCCAGACTAATTGGCTCTTCCTGGGGTCAGCCTTGCGAGACAAGAAGCCTACCCAGAAGTCCTAGTTCTACCTTCATTGTGAGGTTACATTGACCAAATCTTGCAAGTCTGAAAGTACATCTCTCCCCCCTCACCTTTACAGTCCAAGAAACTAGGGAGCGTTCCTTCTGAGACGTTTGCCACGTCCCCATTCCTTCTGTGGGTTCAGCTGACGCTTATCTGACCGTTGCCCAGTCTGCATCTCTTCCTCCTGTCTCCCAAGGTCATTCCCACAGACCATAACATCTGGTTGCTGCCACTGGTGCAAAAAGCCCAAAGAAATTATAGCCCACCCGTTCTCAGATATTCCACCTGCCACTCTGCAAGGGGGAGGACTGAACCCTGGACTGGGGACCATGGTTTGCCCCAACGTGCATCTATCCAGGACTCTCACTCCTGTGAAGAGGCCGCTGCTGACCCCAGAGATCTCATGGTGGTCCTCCTCAATTGCCTTCCCTCAATTCCATTATGCTTTTCCTTGGGAGCATTGCCTATTCATGCCCAAACACAGAACAGGAAATGGACAGAAGAATGCCACCTTCCTCACCAACCCAGAGCTGGCATGAGTGAAGTTCCTGCTGCCAACTCCACTCAGCAAAACTGAGAATGCAATCATTTGCCGGGTCTGCTTGGGGGCACAGTCGAAAATGCCCACATTTTTGCAGAAGCAGAAACAAGGCACATTGGACCGAAGTGGAGAAAGCGTTTAATGGGGAGGTTGGCAGCGCTCAGCTCAAACCTCTTCTCAAAGCCCCCACAGCGGCTTGGGTCCCTTGTAGGTCTCTTGGAGGCAATGAATAAAACTCACTGATCTGCATGACGGAAATAATTAGCCGCATTATCAAAGTGCAGCAAACTGTATAATGCACAGACTCTAGGATTACATAACATTATGTAAGAATAATTAAATCATAATCATGATTCCCAGGCTCTGGGTTAGAACCTGAATCATCAGAAAATACCCA